TATCTATCTATATCCTGCTCTCTCGTCCGCCCTCCTCCCTTTCCTGGTCTTCCCTCTTTCTTCTCCTCATCCTCCCTCTTCCTCTATCTCTTTTCAAAACTCTTCCGTGCCGCAGCCCGAGACGTGGGCCGGCTGGGCGTTTCACCTGAGATTTCCTCACCGTGTGCAGCCCTTACACATAACATTGACAACACCTTCACGAATTGAGGGCGGGCCGTTTTCAACATGCTGCTCTCGCCTCAGCGCCGTGTACATTCGTTTTGGGAGTGTGCACGAGCTTCAGGGATGGAGAGCGCCAGGTTTTCAACGCGTGGCCCTCGCCTTAGCGCCGCGCGCATTCGTTCTAAACAAGTGCAATCGTTTCGCGGATGGAGGGCGGGCCATTTTCAACATGTGGCTCTCGCCTTATCGCCGCGCGCGTTCGTCTTAAGAGTCTTTATGGTGTACAGCAGTTTCAAGGATTATCACGGTTAACGTCCCCAACATGATGTTTTGGCAATGTGTAGAATTGTCAGGGCGCATCACTTACTGAAGTTCCAGAAACAGTGTTCTGTCACGATTCAGAAGCGTCAAGACGCAACAGTAACATTGATTCGTGGCGTTGACGTGCTTTGGATTGTGTTCTTGCACGGTTTTGGGTTTTCAGGCGGTTGTGATCCAACGGTGCTCTTCCCCCAGTAACAGTTAAACCTTACAGGGGCCTGTGAAGAGGTAACTTGGAGGGAGAGTTTCTTGCAATCTCGTTGATGAGTCTTGGGTTTACATTGGTCTTTCCTCCTCCTCCTCCTCCTTCTCTCCACTCCTCCTCCTCATCTTCCCTCCTTTCTCCTCCCTCCTCCCATGTCCCCTTCTCCGTCCTCCGTCCTGCCGCCTCCGTCAGTGGGAGTTTTGCGAGTGTCTCAGTCTTGGTCTATCTAGGGCTCCTCCACTCCGCCCGTGGAGTCTCTCAGGCGCTGCCTTGGAGGCCTCTTGAGGCCATGTGGGGTCTTCTCGCGTCAGCCTCGGGCCATCCTGGGCCGTTTTGGGCCGTTTTGGGGTCCTCTCGGGGCCGTCCTGGGCCGTCTGGAGATTTTAGGAGGCCCTCATCGAGCTCTTCCGGCCTCTCTATGGTGCTTCGGAGGTTGATTAACAGCATATTGACAATCAGCATATGGAGCAGCTGATGAAGTCCCCTGGGAGATTTTTGGACGGTTTTGGTCTTCCTGGAGGTCCTCCTGGATTTCGTTTTCATGCGGTGAAGGCCTCTTTGGGCCCTTCTGTTGCCTCTTGGGGTCTTTTTGGGAGCTGTTGGGTCGCTCTTGAGGTCGTCTTCGACCGTGTTTTCGGCCTTGGTGGCCTGCCTGCGCCGTCTGGGAGACCATCTTGGGCATCTTGGACGGGAGTGGGAGGTGATGCACGCAACCGAGCGTGGCGAGGGGGGAGGTCCTTACGTACGAAGACTTGCATAAACCCTATCAGACAGCCCTCGACATTCTACCTCGCCTCAGTGTGCAAGGGGGTCGCCATGGTGGATTCTTCCTCCCTCGTGCGTCCCTCGCCCACCTCCTCGACCGCAGAGTCGGAGCGGAGCTTCAGTCAAAGTGCAGACATAAAGATCACGTTGGGTTCAAAGAGGGGCTGGGGCTTGCGGCCCGCGCTTGAGATCTAGATCGGGGAACCCAGTCGTGGCCAAGGTCCGCCGTGGTCCAGAGGATCCCCTCAGCTCCTTATTCAGCGTTCCTTTTGGTGTCTCAAGGTTGGCTTCAGGTGGCTCAGGGTGTTTTGGTAAGTCAATCAAGCCTAACGCTCATCAGTGACTGACTCGCTATGGCATTCAATAATGACCTGCTTCTGGAATCGGCCCCACCCTGCGAAGCCTGCGGATCTCGTTGGTAACCTTGCGCGGCCGAGTGCAAGACAACGCAATCGAGATCGAAACGCCGACTGTTGCATGACAGACGAGTTGCGATTCGCAAAGCTTTGACCGAATGGACTTATACATCAGTTCCTGTTTTTGTGTAAAGGTGATGCTGTAGCGTCGAATGAGATCACCAACGCGCATCGAGTCCGGTAATGCGTCCAGAGGCTGGGGCAGCCTATGGGCAATTACGCGCAGCACCTTTTGATTGATTTGGATGATTTGATGATTCATATTCGGACCAGCACTTGGATGATAAGGTCATGAGTGTTCTGTTGCGCCTTTGGTTTCTAGTAATCTTTCTTGCCGAATTCACTGTGCTGCCGACGTGCGGTGCGAGAGAATTCAGTGCCATATTCCATGTTAGAATGCCCCGAAACACTGTCACGCATGACCAGGATGGTCGTGCAATATATTTCGTTCCCAGTAAGTGACATGGGTTCTCTATCCGAGGGTGTCCATGCACATGCGTCAAAATCAGGACATGCAGTATATGAGCTCGTATATATTCGCGATCTCATTGATCATCTATCCAGCTGCTTGCGGCAAGTCTCGCCACTGTGCCAGCCCAGCATTTTGGGTGACGACAGTTCGAGGGGGCGCGGTAGGCAGTCACGTGTGACACCTCGAGTTTCCAGGTTTGGGAGAGTCGTGATGAGGATGATGAGGAGTATAATGATGATGATGATGATGATGATGATGATGATGATGATGATGATGATGATGATGATGATGATGATGATGATGCTGATGATGATGATGATGATGATGATGCTGGTGATGATGATGATGATGATGATGATGATTACGCGGATGATGATGGCGTTTCTGATGGCGATGATGCTGATCATGTTGTTGACGATATTGATTCTGATGATGATGATGATGATGATGATGATGATGATGATGATGGTGATGATGCTGGTGATGATGATGCGTATGATGAGGATGATCGCGTTTATGGCGATGATGATGCTGTTGATGATGGCGGTGGCTGCGGCGACGAAGACGACGGCGAGCAATGACGTTGATGGTGTTTATGGTGTTGATGGTGATGTTGGTGCTGGTGATTGGGGTGCTGATGATGACGGCGACGACGACAATGACGCTGACGATGGCGTTGATGATGTGATTGTTGGTGTTAATGATGGTGGTGATGATTGTGTTCATGATTTCCCAATCAGAGCTTGCCTCTGTAGGGGTCCTAGCGGATTCATATGGTTAAGTGAGGTGCGTCGCCAATTTCGGTGGTCGGCCCGGGTGCCCGGGTGCTCGGGGGCCCGGGGGCCCTGGTGCCCGGGGGTGCCCGGGTGCCCAGGGGTGCCCGGGTGCCCGGGGGTGCCTGGTGGTGCCCGGGGGTGCCCGGGGGTGCCCGGGGGTGCCCGGAGGTGCCCGGTGCCCGGGTGTTCTATCGCTTTATAGCCCTATAGCCCTATAGCCCTATAGCTTTATAGCCCTATAACTATATCGCCCTCCAGTCTAATAGCCCTAGAGCCCTATAGCCCTATAGTCCTATAGCCCTATAGCCCCATTGCCCTATAGTTCATAGAGCCTCATAGCCCTATAGTCCTATAGCCTTATAGCCTCACAGCCCTATGACCCTATAGCCCTACAGCCCCATAGGCCTATAGCTTTATAGCCTTACAGCCCTATGCCCCTCATGGCCTTCATAACCCTCGCAGACTTCATGAACCTAGAGATCAATTGCAAAGGAATCTCATGTAATATCAAAAGAGAGTCTTGCTGAATTTTTCTCTGGTATCAGTTTGATTATGATACTGATGTTGGTGATGAGGAGGATGATTCTGATGACGGTGACGCTGGTGCTGTTAGTGGTGATGGTGGTGATGATGGTCATGGTTATGGTGGTGGTGATGATGATGCTGATGATAATGCTGGTGATGATGAGGATTATGATTATGCTGCTGCTGCTGGTGATGATGATGATGATGATGCTAAATATGATGATGATGATGATGATGATGATGATGATGTGGATGGTGATGGTGATGGTGATGGTGATGGTGATGGTGATGATGATGATGATGATGATGATGATGATGGTGGTGGTGATGATGATGATGATGATGATGATGATGATGATGATGATGATGATCATGATGATGATGGTGGTGGTGGTGGTGATGGTGAGGATGATGAGGATTAACCTCTTTTTGGCCGTCTTTGGGGCTGTCTTGGCTCCGCGTGAGGCAGTCATTTGGGTCCCATGGGGCCCTCTTGGGCAGTCTTGGGACGCTCTTGCGCCAGCTTGGGGTTGTTTTGGGCCGTCTTTGGGCCCTCTTGGCCTTATGGTGGGTGTCTGGGGGCCCGACGTGGGGCCGTCATGGCAACGTCCTGGGCCGTCGAAAGGCCTTCTAAGGCCGTCCTTGGTCCCGCGGGAGGCTCTTTTGGGCCGTCTTGGGGCCGTCTTGGATGCCTCTTGGGCTATCGTGGGGTCCTCTTGGGTCCTCCTGAGCTGGCGGCAGTCCGACTTGGCGAAAATACGGGAATCATTCCAAACCGCGAGGTGAACCACTGATTTTGGCTTCTTCAGACCCTGTTGGAGGTCTTCCTGTGGCCACTTTGGGCCCTCTTGGAGGGTTCCGAATCGATATTCGGCCGCCTTGGGGCCGTTTTGGCCCGTCTTCGAGGCATCTTGGGCCGTCTTGGTATCCTTGGTTGCCTGTGCGGGCGCCGTCTTGGAAACCCGGGACGCAGATCCATCGGTTTTAACGGGGGGTTTTGGCTTGCGAGGCCCTGGAACGCTTGGGAACAGCGCCTGGGAATGCGGGAAGTGTACGATCTCGAGCGGGTGCGCGTGGATGGGGTCTTGGAGTTACCACGCGTGGAAAGGGGGGGTCAGGCATTAGCTGCCACGCGGGACGCGCACCACCCTCGAGCCAGCACGCGTGGAATGGGGGTTTAGGCATTAGTTGCAATGCTGAAAATGTACCCTCTTCGAGCGGGCACGAGGGACGTGGCGTCGGAAAGAAGGGGCGATACACGCAAGAGTCTGCGAGTAGGGAGGGGGAGGGCCCCTCATTAGAATTGAGAAAACTCTATAACGCAGACCTTGTTATTTTTCCACGCCTCAACGTGCCAGGGGGCACGGTGGCGGATTGTCACTGTTTGCCGAAGAGGTTTCAATGTATGTTGGCGTTCCGACGGGTCCACCTGGCGAGGGCGCTCTGCACGTTATTCCACAGGACTCGTACGATGATGCATTCATGGTTGCGGGATCCAGTTGTGTCGATGCGGACGCGGAATCCGGAGCGAGTTTGGGCGTCAGCAGTTGTTCTGGCAGCCAAGGCACATGTCACCTGGAAAGATGCTCAAGGTTTTCGTAAACAAATTCGGAGAAGGAGGTTGCGGCGTTCTAGCATATTCATTCCATATCGGTTCATCTACGTCCCACGTCACAACAGATTTGCCTGCCGACGATCTCGAGCTCAGCGATGGTGTCTTGATATTGTCCCCTAGCGGAAATCTATTCTATAAGCTTGCAGAGTTCGTCCGAGGGGACCAGCGACGCAATATCCGTATTGACCTGGACCCAATCCTGTTCTCCGTCATCTGTGGGGCTGCGGCCCCATCGCCGACGCCCCCATGGCGCGCGGCCCCTTGCGTGCGCGCGGCAGCGGATATCGGCGCTCGCCGCGCCGCCTCCTCATGGGATCTCTACGAGGCATCAGCAACCTCATCCCGTGGTGGCCGTCGCGGGGATCGGGCCGCAGAGGTTGGAGGTGGTCGAGCTTTGATGCGGCGGAAGGGCTGCGGGATTCGTTGTAGGGGCGGGGTTCTAGGGGCGGGGCGCCACGCTAGCGGTGTGGTGCCAGTCTGGGGGCCCGAGATTCGCAGCATCTCCTCGAGGCATCATCCGCCACCCCATGTTCCCGAGGTATCGTCCTCCACCCCTCCCCTCCTCCACTCCTCCCCTCGTCCGCGCCCCTTATCGCACGCCTGCCCCTGCCCCCCCCCCCTCCCCCCTTGTTCCCCCGGCTGCTCTCCCCCCACTTCCTCCCCTTCGCCGCGTCCTCCCCCCCCTTCCTATGTTGGCAGCTCTCCTTCTCCTATCGTGCATAACGCGGTGGGGTCTTTTTTTGGACGTCCAGGTCCGCTACGACACGCGTCCGCGGATGGAGAAAATATTAGCGTAATGGAGAGGGACGGGTGGGAGGGGTCGGATGTCAGACATGGTGCGAGCGCATCTAGGTTGCCTTCTCCTCATTCCCCCTCGCTTTCCCCATCGCCCTGTGGACGATGACGAAGACAGCGACGTCCGGTCTCTGAACCTCTTAGTGGCCTTGTCTGCAGATCAGGAATTTAAGCCGCAAACTTAAGAGAACGCCGAACGTCGATCAATCGACGGCTCCTCCCCTATCGTTTGTCAGGTCCCGCTGGCGCCGTTCCCTCCCCTGGGCGTTGGGGCTGCTGGCTGCGTTGCGCCGACGTCCGCGAGGCGGCGGCGGCGAAGGAGGATGAAGGGGAGGGGGAGGGGGAGGGGGAGGGGGAGGGGGAGTGGGAGGGGGAAGGGAAGGAGGAGGAGGAGTAGGAGGAGGAGGAGGAGGAGGAGGAGCAGGAGGAGGAGGATGAGGAAGGAGGAGAAGGAAGAGGAGGAAGAGGAGGGGGGGAGGGGGGGGGAGGGGGGGGGGGACGGGGAGGGCGAAGGGAAGGAGGAGGAGGCTGAAGGCTGAAGGCCGATGCCTGGAGGCAGAAGGCTGAAGGCCGAAGGCCGAAGGCGTGAATTGAACACCTGCCCTTCGCTAGGGGCTGAGCCCCACGACCCCCGCGACCCGAGGGGGGGGGAGAGGAAAGGGAAGGGACGGACTGAGTCGGGCCTGTGCCTCTACAGGGGGAATGTTCAGAAACAGCCAAACATAGTCAGGGGACGATTTGTTTTGACAATGTTCGACTATTTCTGGATCTATGTTTGAACCTTTTTTTACCTCCAAGCTCCCCCCCCCTGTAGGGGGGCAGGCCCGACCTGAGGGAAGGGCGAGACCCGAGGAGGGGCCGCCAGCCGCTCTTAGGTCGGGCATGTCCTCCTGCAGGCGGGTTGTGGAAGGAAAATGAGAAGCAGTAAGCATAAAAAAAGCAAGCAGTCATCAAGAATAGTAGAACCGTCGTCCCCGTATTATTTGTCTCGACTATTTCTGAATATTCTCCCTGTAGAGGGACGGGCCTGATTTGAAGCCACTCGCGAGCTGCTTGCCCGTGACCTTGGCGATCCCCTGCTTGTCGAGCCGCCCGGCCCAGGCGTGTCAGCTCGTCCCGGCAGGCCCGTGTGGGCGCCGCCCTGCCGGGTGGAGCCGTGGCTCCGCGTGGCGAAGCGGGCCTGCGGCGTGCCTTCGCTGGCTGGCCTTCGAGGGCTCGTGCCAGCTCGGGCCAGAGGAGGAGGAGGAGGAGGAGGAGGAGGAGGAGGAGGAGGAGGAGGAGGAGGAGGAGGAGGAGGAGGAGGACTCCTCCTCCTGCTTGGTTTGCGGAGCGGTATTTTCATGAACCAGTTGCGTCTGGAGCGATCGATGCGGGTTCGAAGTGGCGCCGGCGAAAATGTGCATTGCTGAGGGGTGTCGTCGCGGGGGACATTTTCAACATTCACCTGGGAGTCCTGGGGAACAGCGATTAAGTGAGGAGGAGAGGGGCCAGGATGCTGCTGCTGCTGATGATGATGCTGCTGCTGATGCTGATGATGCTGCTGATGATGATTGTGTTGTTGTTGATGATGATGATAAAGATGACGACCCCGACGACGACGATGATGATGACGATTATGATGCTGGTGATGCTGATGCTGATGATGCTGATGATGATTGGGTTGTTGATGACGGTGATTGTGCTGCTGCTGATGATGATGAGATGATGAGGCTGATGAGGCTGATGATGATGCTGATGATGATGATGATGCTGCTGGTGAGACTAATGATAATGGGGATGCCGATGCTGATGCTGATGCTGCAGCTGATAATGATGACGATGATGATGATGGTGATGATGATTATGATACTGATGATGGTGATGATGCTTATGATGGCGATTATGCTGCTGATGCTGATGATGCTGATGCTGCTGATGATGCTACTGACGATGATGATGATGCTGATAACGTCGATAACGTTCATGATGATGACGATGATGATCATGCAGTTAATGATGGCGATGCTGACGATTATGATGCTGCTGATGGTGATGGGATGCCGATGATGATGAGGCTGATGATGATGATGCTGATGATGATGATAATAAGGATGAGGATGTGGATGTGGATGCTGATG